TAGTCATAAATATAACCATTATCTTATTTCTACAGATTACAGTTGATCAAAATGATTTAACATTTCTCATCTATTTCTTTGTTACTTTCCTTACGTAAGTCACCATAACCATTGCATGTACAGTAGTATAATAACTTCATTCTTTAGATGCTTTACATTCCTACTCTCACTCTTTCTATTGGGTTGGTACATTAAACGAAAACTAGAGATCCGTGCATTAATTAGAGTAAGTTTCATATGCACACTATGCATACATCACACATGACAGTCACATGATGATCACATGACTATACATTACCTTATAGGCTCAGCATATTGAAATGCAGAGGCGAGTCAGACGTCCATTTGCTCGTATCAAGGCAATAGTGGACACTCCCTTAAAATCCAGAGCTAAACAAACTGCTTCTTATGTTGCTGTAGAAACAGTCAATGACTCAAAGGCGGCCATTTTATCTGTATTGATTCGTCTTCCTTGCGATAAAGCAACAGGTCATCCCAAACCGAATCGAACTGGGATGTGTTTCGGTAGCACGTTTGTGAGAATGAACCCACCAAAGAAGAAAAGAACTAAACACAGCAGCAGCAATCATAATACGAACACTTAGAATACAAGGAAAATATACTGACATACAACCTCCCCTCTCCCCTTTATACTGTCCATAATATTCATACAGTATTCTTATCATTAATTGTTGTTTATTATTATTGTTGTTGTTTGCAATTTTTTTGTTATAATATATAATCGATTGTCATAGTGTATGCTTTAATATCTATAGATTTTGGTATTTTATTTATGTCTGATTTAATGTAAGTATTAAAATGATTAATTTATTTTGAGCCAAAAGATCAACCAATTTTTAAAATCAGCCAGTCAAAATTAAAATTACAAGTTGCAATTCTGACACCTTGTTAACACCTTGAGGTGTGAATTAAAGTGTGAACAAGAGAATTAAATTTTTTAAAATTCACATAAAAAATGAATGACAGTTTCACAGTGAGTAACTGTATGTGTGCATTATAAGTATAGTTAGTGCAGAGTCAGTGTTTGTGTGGAGGTGAGTCATGTGATGAATCTGAAGAATAATGATGTCTCTTCCTATCACTTGATCTCTTCTTGCTCCTATAGCTACATTTAATATATAAAATGCATTTTACTCTCTCACTTTTTCTTGTGCTTCTTATGGCGTCGGTCCTTCTCTATTATCTTCTGTAGCTTCTTCAGCCGTTGTTCCTCTTCTCTCCTCTTTCTCTCTTTCTCTCTCATCTCAGCAGCCTCAAGAAGTAATGATGATTGTGATCAGTCAGTGTTAACCAAATGAGCAGGTTATACAATTACCATTATAATACCATAAGACACAGGGAGTTATTAGTGGTTGAATAACATTCCCCATACCAGCCAATGTTAAAAGTGAAGAGTGAGAGAAAAAGAGAGAGAGATGAAGTAGGAATATGATTGATGCCATCGGTCCAGTAATTGATGCCCCAATGGTTGTATGGTTTATTTTAAGAGGGAGAGATGACAATACATCACATGACACCAAGTCACGTGACTAATGTGACACACCTTCTTTTCCAGTGCTGCTGTTAGCAGTGCTGCTCTAGTCTTGGCTGGTTCTGACTCAGGGTTGTCAGCCAAAGCTTCACGATAGCAACGTAGAGCAACCTTGAACTCACCTTGTCTTTCTAGCCTGTAGGTACATGTACATGTCATGTGATAATCATGAGACAGTCATGTGACTTACTCTCGCCCATAAGCTGTCTGAGTCTCAACCAAGTACTTCTTTGCGTTGGAGTGGGTGTGGTTTATGGTGAGAGCACTTTCGAAGTCTTTGATGGCTTTTTCATACTTTCCTTTGTTGGCATAACTATAATAATAATTATTATTATTATAATAATAATTATTATAATTACAGTGCTCCTCTAGCCACCATTGCTTCAACATTCTCTGTGTCAATTTCAAGAGCATAATTGAAATGTTTCAAGGCATCTTCATATTGATGCTTCTTAAAGCATTCAACACCACTGGCAACACTACAGAGAAGGGGAAAGAGGAAATGAATGTATAAATTGTTAATAATGTTTGTCACTAATGATTACTGTGCACAATGTACATACATGTACCACAGTATCAGAAAACTTACGTATCCATAGACCATTTAGATCTTTGTGATTTCCTTAAAGAGTCATAATATTCACCATCTTTAATTTCAGTCCTAAAGGGATGTATTACATTAAAATTAATTCATATTTCTGATACTACAGTTCCAATTTCATTACTAGTATACTGTCTCTCACATGGAGATCGGTCTTAGAAAACTGAAGGATTGAGGAGAAGCAGTCGATAGTCCCAGGACTGATTTTAGATTATTAACACAAGACGGGTTTTTAAAACCTGATGATCTGGTTAGTTTATCAATATAATCCATAGGTTTGGGACTAGAGAGAGGGAGAGAAAAATTTCAAAACTGTGTGAAAATTCTTATACTTACATCTTAGGAGGTAGTGGTACATCAATATCGATGTAACCCTGTAAATGCAGAAATTATAAAAATTTATAAAAAAATCTAATTTTGATCAGAATCAGCTC